CCTAGAGAGAAATTGTGAGGCTCTGGAAAGGTACGTTTTTCTTGGAGGTGATCAGGATGACTGTGAAGTTACATGAGGCCTGAAAAAAGGCCCTACCCAGCAGACACTCGAGGCTGTGGGCTGGTGGTGGCCATCCAAGATTTATCAGCTGCTTGCGGCTGATTATCAAGATGTCCAAAAAGGATTCCTCTGCTATTTGTAAGCAATTTAGTGCTGTGCCTAATTTTAATCTGCAATGTACTGTCTGTCCACATCTGTTGTATTAAAGTATTCATTAGCATTTAAAGGAGAAGCGGATGGTATTGATCACGCCTATTAAAATTAAACAATCATGCAATAGTCACTGATTAAAAATCCTCTTGCTGCACCAGGATTGCTGTGTAAAGCAACAGTAAGTGAACTAGTCAGAAAGAAATCTTCATCCCCAATGTGTTCCCCAGCTGTGGCACCAAAGCTATTAAAATAGCAAGAAATAAATGACTCAGTTACAAACCATTTTCAACACCTGAAAAAAAATCGTATTGGAATACAGTTGCATGCAGTTTCCACTTCAAGTGTGATTTTATTTTTTAATTACAAAACACTTTTCATAGAGTCCCCCTTGGACCGTCTTCCCTCTTAACCCTGTGTAAGTGAAAAATTCTCAGAAAATGTGCTTTTCCACCTCATTGTCATTACTCTCAACATGTCTAGTTCTTGGTAATAATTACTTATAAAGCAAAATGTGCTTTTAGAGCCTCTTTCATCGCTTACTTTCCTAAGCACAGTGATTTGTTGCCATGTTCTACCAACTTGCAGCCACATCTGCCTGGAAGGCTATGCACTGAAACATGGAAAATTGGACAAACACATGTCAACAAATCCAACAAATTAGCCTTATCTCGCAAATCTGTGAAAAAAATGGTCTATCTAGATTTACACCCTAAGAACTGGGACGTGCTTCCCTTGGTCCATGGGCAGATCCTCAGGCACGCTATGTGTCCCGTCCACGGCTGGCTGTGCAACCAGACACTGTCATTACTAGAAATCCACCCCTAGTTTTCAGAGCCTGGTGTACTCACATTGCAGTTTTCTTAATCCCTGGAAGGGCTGAACATATACCTGCACTTTCCTCTTTCACAGTTCCAGGCTCATAAGCTTCAGCGATGGCTGCTGGATTGGATGAGAAAAACAGTGGAAAATCACAAAGGAAAATTCAGAACTGAATGTCTGAAATGAGGGAGTATTTGCATCCAGTGGAGAGACTGTTTATGAAATCAGACACACGGTCCCTTTTTTCTTTTCTTTTTAATGAACCATGAGACAGTGACTGCCACACACTGCGGCTCCCAGGGACAACTTCTGACTGCAGCTCTCCTGGGAGCAGAAAGACTTTTTCATGGGCAGCACCACTTCTAGCTGGCTGCTAATGCTGATCCTCGCTGGTCGGTCGGCTGGGAGGAAGCAGCGTTTGGAGGGTCGGGCCTTTGGGCTTCCTGAACCTCACAGGATTCCCTGTGTGTGAGGTGGCCACTGCGTGAGCCAAGGAACTAGGTGCTCAAGACATCTCATGTGCTTGCAGCTGCTTCTGACAAGCCAAAGGCAGCTCTGTAACCAGCTCCGTTCCTGCCCTGGCTTCTGCGAGCAGCCGCTTGGGCCAACAGCCATGTGCACAGCCCCATGCCAGCTAGCCGCACGGCCAGGGAGTCAACCACGAGGGTTTTAATCCTGCTATAAACCTCCTTCCTTCCAGGAGTACTGGGACGTGGGGCTTCAAAGCCACCGCGTGCTGCACTGTTTTGACCGTGCTGGTGAGTGCACCCTGACCTAACTCCTGTTATTATTGCTGTTCTGTGGACGGGGAGAGACAGGCGGGTGCTCCGGTAATTGCAGAGAAACCCCAGCTGCAGAGACCTCCTGACTTCCCTCATCACTAAAATGGAGCAAAATAGCTGCGCTGCCGCCAAAAGCCGTGTCTGACAGGATTGCTCTGTGCGTGCGCACATGCCCAACACAGAAGTGTTTTTACATAATTTTCTTACTAATGAAGTGCCAGAGCTTAACAGTTCAAAGCAGTTTGTCGCGGGAAGTTAGAGGTTACAGAGGAGAAGCCTGTGACGGCAGCACCACTAACGAGGCTCTGCCGCGGCCACGCGTCGGGACGCGAGCTCAGCGCCGGGGGCGAGTGGCCGCCGTGCGCGCCGGCACCTGCAGCGCCGCCGCGGCCGAGCGACACAACGGGCCAGGCCACCACGGGCAGCTGCCTGACGCCTGCTCGTCCCCACAGCCGTGCGTCCGCGGAACGTCCTGCGCGATGCACGGTGTGACTCGGTTTATGTCGTGGTTTCAAAAGGAAATACGAATCCAGGCCCAAGAATGAAAGGGCTCGGATCTTGACGCTTGTAAGCTGCTGTTGCACATTAACAACAGCTACTTTTGCTCAATGTCTTTTGCGATGTGTTTTGTGTTAAGGCTCCGGGATACTTTGCAAATACCAAAGTACAAAGTCAAACATATATAGTAAACAAAAACACTTCAAAAAAATCAATGTCCAGCAAAGCTGTAGCAGTCTAGCTCTAATTAAATACGCAAAAGTAGCCACGCTCCTGTCTCTGCATAAGAACAAATGCCCTTTTAGGCTGCAGCTGATGGCAGCTTGCCTCCTGCAGCCCGCTGGAGGGTGACATGGGAACAAATACATCCACCTGATCAGATCTTTTACAGAAACACACCTTTCCAGAGAGAGAAGAACAATTAGTGTGTTATAGGTTACCAATTTACAGTTTACATCATAAACCAATGTCTGATTATTTTAATGCAGAACATGTTTAGCTTCATTTTGTTGCACTAGCGGCTGCAATAATACACTGTAATTTGCTCAGATGAAGAGGTGATTGGACAGCTCTTGCAGTAATTTTTAATTACTGTCATTAGTGGCCGCAATCTTGCTCCTTTCTAAGGAGCTGGGATTCGCGCTGTCGCCCCACGCCACAGGTACTCCTTTGCATACACTGGAAAAGCCAGCCTGCTTCTCGGCAGAGCAGAGCCGCCCCGCTGCCCAGCTG